GTGTTATGCACAAACAATGAATCATGGAACACTACATCAAAAACTAATGATGTAATGTATGGCGATTAACATAACAATAAAAATTTTTAAAAAACTAATGTATGGTGATTAACATAACAATAAAAAATTAAAAAAAGATTTAGGGAGTACGGGGGCATGGGGGGCTTGGGGGGGGCGCCTGGGTGGCTCAGATGGTTAAGTGTCTGCCTTCGGCTCAGGTCATGATCCCAACCCCACGTCAGGCTCCTGGCTCAGCGGGGAGCCTGCTTCTCCCTCTCCTTCTGCTGCTCCTCCTGTTCGTGCTCTGTCTCTCTCTCTCTCTCTGTATCTCTCTGTCTCAAATGAATAAATAAAATCTTTAAAAAAAAGAAAAGACTTGGGGAACACGCATAAAATGCCTGGCCCTTCAGTGCACCACACATGCTTCTTTGCTGATGTGTTCATTGTAAAAATATCACTGTGTTCGTCACATTTTTTCAGGACTTAGGCTATTTCTTTATTTTTCAGGCATGAAAATGAAAAGAAATTAACTACCAACTTAGAGTCTAAAGGTAAGAGAATTCATTTTGTGTTTTAACCGAGAGTTGTTGAGGACCTTTTATTTGTTTTGTGCACCCTCATGTAAGGGCTATGACGGTGCCTGTGATCACAGAGGCGACCCCTGGGGTGGTGTAGTCTCTGAGAGGATCGGAAGGCTGCTCGAGGCACCATTCTTCAGTGACAGGGCTGGGACCTGACAACACACAGGGGTGCCACAGGCCATGTGGCTTAGCATTCTAATTTGCAAGTATGAATTTGCAGGGTATCCTGGCCTCCACATCCAACTGATTGCCAACAGTGGTATATTCTACCTATGAAATGTTTTTTGCCTCTGTCCCCAACCTCACAGCTAATGCCCCACAAGTACCCACTGCTCATGACATGACAGGGCTCCTTGACTGGTTTCCTCACATCCAGCCCCTCCCCAAGTCCTGATTGCCCTCTACCTGGCCACCAGCATCTAAAACTTCATTGAACCTTCTTACCTTCCTGGTGAAAAATTGCTAATGCCCCCCCACTAAGTGCAGGATAGAGTCTATAACTTTCTCCCTTTGTGGTCTGGCCCTTCCCTTTTTTCCAGCTCAGTTCCTCCCAAGGTCTTGTCCTCTTCGGGTTGAGTCACAAGCAGCTTTTTCCAAATATAGGCATACCTCAGAGGTATTGCAGATTCGGTTCCAGACCACTGCAATAAAGCCAAATAAAATTTTTGGTCTCCCAGTGCCTATAAAAGTTGTGTTTACACTATACTGTAGTCCCTTAAGTGTACAGCAGCATTTTGTCTAAAAAAAAAGTTAATTAACATTAATTAATTTAAAATATGTTAATTTAAAAATTATTAATTAAACACTTTATTGCTAAAAGATGCTAACCGTCATCTGAGCTTTCAGCGAGTCATAATCACTGATCACAGGTCACTGTATGAAATATAATAATAACGGAAAAGCTTGGAATAATGAGGGAATTACCAAAATGTGACACAGAGACACAAGGTGAGCAAATGCTGTTGGAAAAATGGTGCCAATAGATTTGCCTGATGTACGGTTGCCACAGACCTTCCATTTGTAAAAAACACAATCTCTGCGAAGCACAGGAAAATGAGGTATGCCTGGACACCACACTTGCACCTCTGTGCCTTTGCTCATGCTGTTCCTTCCCTTTTCCTTAGCGCCGTGAGCTCCTATTCAGCTTTGAAGCCCCAGCTCACAGGGAGAATTTCCTCCACCTTGCATGCCAACACTGTGGCATGTCCCCTGCAGAGCTTGGGCTCGCTCTACTCCTGTCAGCCTAGTCTCCCTCCCTAGTGATCAAGAGCATGGGTGTGAGTCTGACAACCTGGGTGGGACTGGTAGCTTGAACATCCATTAATGCTGTGATTGGGGCGAGTCTCCGCCTGTTTGCTCAGTAGATGGAGGCATTCCCAGGTTGGTACAAGGATGAAATGGGCTGGATATAAGAAGTCATCACAGAATGGCAGGCAGTGAGTGCCAAGGAGATATCGGTGGTCATGGAGATGGTCAGTGTAGCAGACTGTGTCCCCCCACATCCTGTCCGGCCGCCTTGGCGATCACAGCGCAGTTCTCAGGCGCGCCCATGGCCTTCAGCGGGGTCAGGCAGCTCTGCACATGTGCCTCGGGGCTTTGTCTGGCCGCGGGAGCAGGCCCAGCCCCCAGGGCCAGGGAGTAGATGCCGTGCTTGAGAATAACCCTCAACCAACGAGAAATGGAAGTTGGTCAGTGAATAACCCCATCTCCTTACTCTTTGTTGGGACAGTTTGAGGAGAGTTCTGAGTTTCTCAGAGGGTGCCCTACAGGACTGAGCCCCCTTGTACACTGCCCACCCCCTCATGAACACACCCTCTCTTGGCTTCCTCTCTTCTGTATTGCTCTTCCAGCCCCTCCCATTGTTCCCAGGATCACCTCCCAAGTAAACCGAGTGCACCCACGGCCAGCTCTTCTTCCCCCGCGCCTTCCCTTCTCCTCTCTGCTCTTGTGGAGACCAGAGGGGATCAAAGTGCCGGAGCGGCTGAGCTGAGGCGGGCCCAGGCCTGATGAAACCCCCAGCTAACCCTGCTTCCGTGGTAATCCTGGCCTTAAAGCCCCATCCTGCAGTAAGGAGCTGGGCACAACGAAAAGGGAAGGGAATATTCTGCAGTGTTTTCCATAAAAAACACTGAAATGTGTGAATTTGTGCAGTACTGACACGCATTCCAGATGCATCTGTCAGGTTCATCCCTCGGTGTCCCTGGTAGGCCTTTTGCAGGCCAGCGCTCTGATTAACCTGTCCGGCTGATGAAGGCCAGCTGTTCAGATGGAGAGATGTTAAACAGCTGCCTGGTTTTCTCTTCCAGCCTTCTGGGGTGAGTCTGATGACAGTAACTCAGAAATTGAAGCTGCGTTACGTCCTAGAAACCACAACACATCCGCTGATGATTTTGATGATTTTTATGACTAATAAGCAGTAACAACTGTTGGAAATAAAGTCATCAAACAAACTAAAACCCTGTGTTCATATGTGATACCCTAAACAAACATGTCTTTTTAAGCTTTCTAATTGTTTGACGGGAAAACTTGGGACCACATTGCTATTGAGGTGAAATTTTGTGGTGTAAACATAAACTAGCATATTCATTTGAAGTGCTATCAAAAAGCAAAGTGATGAATGCAGTGCCCATCAAAATTCAAGTTGGTTTCTTTGTGGAAATTGACAAGGTGCTCCTAAAATTCATATGGAAATCCAAGGGAACTAGAATAGCTAAAACAGTCTTGAGAAAGAGCATCAGAGCTGGAGTACTCACGCTTCCCAATTTTGAAACTTACTTAAAAACTGTAGTAATTGAGACAGTGTGGGACTGGAATAGACATATAGATCAATGAAATAATGATTTATATATAATCTAGATAAACCGGAAATAAATCCTCACATATATGGTCACTTAATTTCTGACAAAGGCATCAAATCATTCAATGGGAAGAGAATGATCTTTTCCACAAAGGGTGCTGGGACCACTGGATAGCCACCTGAAAATGAATGAAGTTCACACTTTATACAAAATTAACTCAAAATGGATCAAGACCTAAATGTAAGTGCTACACTATAAAACTCTTAGAAGAAAACATAGGTGTAAAGCTTTGTGACCTTGCATTAGGCAATGGTTTCTTTGTTATGACACCAAAAGCCCTTAACAGAGAAAAACAGATATATTGGACTTCACCAAAATTAAAACGTTTTTGCTGCAAAGGACACCATCAGGAAAGCAAAAAGAATGGGCGAAATACTTGCAAATCATACACCTAAAAAGAGACTTGTATCCAGAGTATATAAAGAATTTTTATAACTCAATAATAAAAGGACAACTAACCCAATTTAAAAATGAGCAAAGAATCCGAATCGATGTCGCTCCAAAGAAAATATACAAATGACTAATAAACACATGAAAAGATGCTTGACATCATTAGTCATCAGGGAAATGCAAATCAGAATCACAGGGTATCCTCATTCCCATGTGATGGCTAGAATCAAAAAGGTAAAAAAAAAAAAAAAAAAAAA